CTTATGTGGAAGGATCCTGGGGTAGTGTAGATTCTAAATTGTTCAAATCATGACCCCCGGGGGTAGGGCGGGGCCACAGTAGGGAATCCAAGTTTTACATAGAAATATATAGGAAAAATCTTTCAAAATCTTCTTCTCAAGAACCACTGATCCAGAAAAGCTGAAACTTATGTGGAAGCATCCTGGGGTAGTGTAGATTCTAAATTGTTCAAATCATGACCCCCGGGGATTGGGCGGGGCCACAAAGGGGAATCCAAGTTTTACATAGAAATATATAGGAAAAATCTTTCAAAATCTTCTTCTCAAGAACCACTGATCCAGAAAAGCTGAAACTTATGTGGAAGCATCCTGGGGTAGTGTAGATTCAAAATTGTACAAATCATGACCCCCAGGGATTGGGCGGGGCCACAAAGGGGAATCAAAGTTTTACATAGGAATATATAGAAAAAATCTTTCAAAATCTTCTTCTCAAGAACCATTGAGCCAGAAAAGCTGAAACTTATGTCCACATGGAAGGATCCTGGGGGTAGTGTAGATACAAAATGTCTAAATTATGATCAGTGGGGTAGGGTGGGGATGCATTATGTATTACAAGGGGGAAATCTGGTAAAGAACAGAATGGTCAAAGCTTCTCAGGTGAGCGATGTGGCCCATGGGCCTCTTGTTATAGACTGCTGTTGTATTTCCAATCTGCATAAAGTATGTGGTTAGAATTTCCATTTTCTCAATTTTTCAGACACTTTCCAATTATCGTACATCATATACATGGGGTGTCTAACTCACTGGATGGTTTATCCATACTCCCATGCTCACGAACAGCCTTGCCCAAGGAATTTTGCCCTGAAGTAACATTGCAGTCTATTGTTTCCTTTCCTTTTACAACCCTGGCAGCCATGCAGGTATGCAATCTATGAAAGCCATGAAGGGACATAGAATTTTTAAAAATTTATAAAAGTAAACCAAGTTCTCGATTTATACAATCCGTTCTCTCAGATTGACAATTTGTTATAACAAATTGCCAATTCATTCTCACAGATTATCAATTTGTTCCCTCAAATTACACAATCCATTATCTCAGATTGTATAATTCAATCTCTTAGTTTAAATGATTCGTTCCCTCAGAATGTAAACCCCATGTTTTCATTAAAATTATTTATCTGTATATATCGGATATGGTAATACATGTTTAAAGAATAGAATATTGTAGTATTTTACATCCTTCCTTTTATTAAATATTACGGTCCAAAATGAGAAAAATACATGCACATTTTCAAATCCTTATGCTAGTACTGATATTTGTACAACAAAAAATCTTAAAGGTTTTTATGTTGCGTGTATATTAGAATAATTGAAAGTCCTAAATAGTAAAATTGAATATGGGTCCTGTGTAATCATAATATTTCTAAAATAAATTTACGTTGAATTAGTTATGAAAGAGGTTGGAAATGACCAGTTGCTGAAACAAAATAAATAGAATGCACTAACTGATTAAAATGTTTGGATGTATCTGTACATATATGTGATGAAATTCAAGAGCACAGATTGCCAAAATCATAAGACTGACATTGTAACAAATCAAGATCTCGAATTATTAATCTGTGAAAACGAATGGTTTTCACCCATCAAATTTCCCGCGCAGAGATGGCGCTCGTGTACTAGAGGTTATACTTTCGGAATACCTCGGACGACTTACTAAAAGAAGCGAAAGTAAATTGCATGAGTTCAGTCTAATCTTTATCCAATTTCTGTTGATATTTGATTCCAATGCCACAATATTGTTGTGTACCGAATTGTACAAACTTTGGAGGCCATAAATTCCCGGAAGACCCCAGTATAAGACAGAAATGGCGCGTGGCCGTAAGAAGAATGGGCCCAAAGACAAAACGTTTATGGCAGCCTGGGAAGCACAACGTCGTGTGTTCCTCCCACTTTAAAGACACAGATTACAAGATCACACTATCAGGTTAGAACAGTCACATTTCCTTTTTCCAATTTTTATAAATATTAAATTATTGTCACTTATCAAACCTATTTAAATGATACATTTATATAGAAATCTTGGAACACTTCTAGTATACCGGTCCCCATAAATATGGCGCTAAAATAGGTGCCGCCGAAGGCGGTGTTGAATATATAGACGATCGCGTGAGCGATCGACAAAATCGTAAAAGAAGCCACAAATTGCAAATTTGACCCCAAATTCGTGTTCCTTGTGAAAAATTGGGTTTAAAAAACTGGTTTTTAAACACAGTTTTTTAAATGAGAATTAACAGATTTTGGAAAATAACGTACTTGTTTAGGAAGTAAAACTCCATCTTGGGTTGTTTAGGAATGTGGTCACATGATCAATTTATGACGTAATCTCATAAATATTTATGAGATGCGTCACTTGTGTTTGACGTAATGAAGAAATACCTGATAGGACTAAAAGTGCAATGCTATTAAAATTGCGAGATTTTTGTGAGAAATACATGGATTTAACAAGTGTTAGCTAATAACTAGTCATCGATGGATTGAATTGTGCATCATCATCGATTTGAAAGGAAAAATATTCTGAATATTTGAACATTGCATTAGGAGGTCAGGATATCGAGCTGTAGTTAACGGTAAGTCGCTTTTACAATAAACTTGCCTAAACTCAGCGCTGAAAATCGTCATGTTTTGACATTAGAGTTGATTTACCCGAACTTTCATTTATAAAACTTTCTGTTCTTTGTAAAGCATAAATTTCATGAACTAAATCAAAGTGTAAGATATCGGCACGATTTGACAGGATGATTCACTCATAGTAGTGCCTTTTTTTTAGCAAAAATTACATAAATTAGCCCAAAGACAGAAAGATTACATAGTGGATTTATAAAACAACCCCAATTTTAAAAACTATATAACCTAACCCTAATCACTCAATTGGATGCGTTTTGTTGAAGCGAGTGGGAAATTGCAGTTTGTTTAGATTCTGCATAGCAACGGCAAGGGAAATAACTGCTCATGCGCAATCGCGTGATTCTGGGGACCGGCATACTAGAAACTTCCCGAAATCTTTATTAGCTCAATAGCTGTTGATCAGCTGTTGAACAGTTTTGGCCAGCTAATTTTAACTCTTGTTTACATTAGTATAACCATAATTTGGTATAAATTAGAGGCCTAAGCGGTAATGATATTAATAAATGGGCTATAAAAAATTGATTATATTGTTATTTCGAACTCCAGGTTGTCTTATGTAAACAATGTTGTGCAAATGTGTAATGTGTAATATTGCAGAAGTTTATTTGTTTGTTTATTTTTATGTTCTGTTGCTTTGACTTTGTTTGCTTTGTGGTTTGTATTTATTTTTCAGGACCTCATATTACAGAATTTACAGAGCATATGAAAAGGATAGGTGGTTTTGTACCTAAGGCATAGCTAGCCAGGATTAATTAAAATTTGCTCAGATTTTTTACTTTTTTTCTTGAGTTAATGAATTGATATTTAATTATGTATATTCCTTTTCAGTCAAAATTATATACTCATTCAAATTATATTATTTCTTGAAATGGAGAAAAAAGCAACTTAACAAGAGAAAATTGTATAGCTCTTTCATTGTAAAACTACATGCATAACTAAAAAGAATGTAAATATTGTTGAAAACAGAAAGCATTCTGAGCAGCTTTATGTTATTCAGGTGAATGTCCAAGACTGAAGAAGGGAGCAGTGCCTTCCATTTTCCCTTTTGCCCTTTCATTAACAAATGATGAGAGTCCAAGGTGTCAGAGGAAAAGGAAACGAGAAGAAGCTTCAAATGAGCACCACGATTGTACGGATGTTCTGAATACGATAGAAGTGGTCGATACCCCTGAGATTCAATCCTCTTCTACAACTGAGGCAATCGATGAAGGTATACCTGTGCAGGTGAATCAGGGAGTACAGTGTGAGCTGAAAACGTTTGGTAAATTTTCTGTTCAAAACTTTGAAAATGATCCCAAAATGATCAAGTATTACACTGGTTTTTGCGATTTTATGCAGGTCATGTTTTTTTCAATTGTCTTGGACCTTGTGTTTTTGAGCTTTTTCGACACACAACTCTTATGGATCCTAAAGATCAGCTTTTTATGGTTCTGATGAAGCTCCGACAGGCCAAAGAAGATATTGAGTTAGCTCTTTTTTCGGCATTTCTGAGTCCTCCATATCTCGTATCTTCAACACATGGCTAAATTTTATATATTTTCAACTTAAAGAATTATGCATATGGCCATCAAGAGATGTGATTCAACAGTTCATGCCTTCTGATTTTGGAAAGAAATTTCCTAACACGCGAGTCATTCTTGATGCTACAGAACTTCCGATTAACAAGCCATCAAATGTGAATGCCCAGAGTATAACATGGTCTGCATACAAACATAAAAATACATTGAAAACCATGATAGGTTGTACTCCAAGAGGTGCGGTAAGTTTCATATCCAAAGCATATGGAGGATCAGCAAGTGATCGACAGATAATTGAAAATTCTGACCTTCTGAATCCAGACCTGAAAATGTTTGAAAAGGGAGATAGTATTATGGCTGATCGTGGCATAATGGTGCAAGACCTGTTTGCTTCCCAAGACGTGTACGTTAACACCCCAACAATGTTGAAAGGGAAGTCACAACTGGATCCTGAGGAAGTTATCCGTGATAGACGAGTGGCATCAAAGCGAATTCACATTGAGCGTGTTACAGGGCTAAGCAAGGGCTTCAAAATATTGAGGCACCCTCTACCTCAAAGCAAATTGCACCTTGGTTCTAGAATTGTTTATGTTTGCTTTGCAATATCCAATTTCAGGAAATCAATTGTTGATAAAAATGCTTAATTCTGTGCAGTTTTCTATTTGACTGTCAAGCTTAAGTGAGTTGAAGAATAACAAAACAGTTGTTTTAGTGTCATCCTAAATTTAATTTAACATGGCATGTAAGAATACACTCATATACTAATTTATCAAAACTTTCTTTACTTATAAACACTCCTATGAATGTATTTGTAACCTTTCATCTTTCAGAGTTTAGCAGATTATCATACTACAGCAAATTAAATACTACATGTGTAATGTAAGAACAATTGGTATCTGTGGTGAAACTAACATGACTATAATTAGACTGTGGATCAGGTAAGTTTATCAACAAGAGGCCCATGGGCCACATTTCTCACTTGATCAAATCAGTATGTAAAAGTTTTAAGATATGAGGTCTCAATCTATTAAGGGGAGGGGGCATGATTTGGACAATTATAAATTTACAATAAATAAGGATGCTTCAATAATATTTCTTTGACTATTAAAGGCTTTGAAAGATAATAAAAGATTATATCCCTATAAGTTTTATCTTAATTAATTAAAACAATAATAATTTAAATGCCAGGTGGTTCTTCAGAAGAGGTCGAGAATGTGAATAATTTACAGACTTACGGACAGACAGACGGATGCCAGACAAAATATCAGAAAAGCTCACACTGGGTTTTAAGCTCAGGCGAGCCAATAGAATTTACAATCATAGATTATATTCAATTTACCAGGTACTTCTATATTGAAAAGTTTATCATGATGTTATCAAAACATGTAATGATATGAGTTTTAAAATTACCTATTAATATAAGTGGATTGCAATGCTCAAAACAAATATTTTTTCTTATTGATGCATAATACTTCAAAGAGTAGAGGCAATAAAAGGTCTGAAAAACTTGGTGTAGAATGTTTCTAGCTTTGGAATGAGTGACCCAGTACAATATTCTTCATCATACTTGATTTTCTCAACAAACAAATCTTTGAAAGTGTATACAACAAAGTAACAAACTTTTTTTTGACATATGTGAAGTTGCCCTTGTACTTGATAATAGTAATTGCTTGTTCTTTTTAAGATGATTTCATTTGTTTCATTATACTCCAAAAATCTAAAATGCTTGCCTGGAAGAATCTTTTCATTTCTTCCTGAATATGGACATTTAATTTCAACAAGACAATCATCATACAATAAAGCATCGGGTGTAGCACCTAGAAAAGGTTTAGATGCACAAATGCAGAAACCAACAGATCTTGCTTTGCAGTCATATTTTAACTCAAATGACTTCAATGCCTTTGACTCGCAATTTTTACCGTGTGCCAAAGCACTGTTTTGTAGAGATTTGTTTACAGACAACAGATTTTGACAAAGTTTGGTGATATTTCTTCTTGAAGTCAACTTGCAGAGCTCTCCAAATCTTGAAGCTGTAAGACGCCAGGATCTATGGTGAAACCATAGTTTGCATGATGCTTGTTGTCTTGTTTCTTTTTCAATCTTTGTTATGTCTTCTTCAGTCACCTATTGATTTAAAAAAAAAGCATTACCAATAAATGGATTTTCGATGTACCTTGAAATTTATTTTTCCATCTATGCATATTTATTTCTTTTATCCAATTAAATTTCCATTTTAATATCTACTACACATTTAGTAATACAGATTATTCTAATAAGTTAATGGAAAGATTTTAACAGAAAATCAAATTTTAAGCCACATTTTACATTGTATTCTTACTGATAAAGATAAAAGATATACATGTGTCACAGGTGGTGAAAAATGAAGTCTCAACCGGGACTCGAACCCAGGCCCTCTGGCGTACCGTGCCAGCTCTCTAACCACTGAGCTATTGAGACCCGATGTACTGACTGACTTTCACGCACCTGTGAACCCGGTGACACATTTAATTAGTGTGTTTACAAACCTTGTTTGCTTCATCCACCCAGTACTCTGTAATAGGTATACTAGTATAATGATGATCAACAGCTTCAACCTGAAATAAAAAAAAAACAAAAACATGTATATGGGTTATAGAATAAATCTAATTTTATGAGGTGAATACTTGAGAAGATGAATAAATTTTAGAGGTTTATGTGTGTAAATACATTGCAGTATAAAAATAATGCAAAATAAAATGGCACCTGTATATCGGCCTTTTTAAAGAGATATCTGAGTGCAATATCTTGTGATGTCATAGAGCAGTAATTGATAAGCTGACTCTGAACATAATCTTGGTAACCTGGCATTTTTCTGAATTTTGCTGGCCGTGGATCCTCCAAAGATTCGTCAGACAGTTTTCTCTTTGATGGAATACTTTCTGCCTCCACTGGGACACCTAATTATAAAAATCACCATTTCGAAATATAACTTACATGCATTTCCACTTCATTAACTATACTCGCTACAAAAGCTTACTAATAAGAACCTGTCAAAATTATTTTTGAATTTGATATGATGTATTGTTGAATTTCTTGCAACTAATTTTATTTCTTAACACAATTTTTGGAATTCATTTTAATGAAATTTTGAAAATGTTCATTTTTTTTTGGCCAATTGCTCTTACCATGGTAAGTTGCCTTTGGTTTGTGGAAAAGCTGCAGATTTTCAGTACAACTTTTATCAACAGCAACATTCCCTGTCTCTGTAAAATGCTGCAGCATGAGCATGACAGCAGCTAGGTGCTTACAGGTCCCATGGGGTCCTTTTCCTGCCGGACACTCGCAGTCACTATTTATGGCATCTCCTGTCCTTTTGTCCATTTTCAGTTTATAGTTATAAGAAACCTAAATGTAATATAACATTTTAAAAGGCTAGTTTCTTAAGATTACAGAATATACAATTGCTTAATTATTTCACTTTGTATACATTCATAAACTCAATTCTTGCATATTGTCACAACTAGACTTCAATATTAGTTTCCTAAAGATACCTTATTTTTCATCGCAGCACCAACAATCCCCGTAAAGTAGATGTCATTTTCTTTCACAACAACAGAGCATGCCTGCACTCTATTCCCTTGGAACATTGCAGAACCCTTGGACACTGCCTTAATGTCTTTCGTAAACTGCTTATCACCTGGAAGTATTTTATAAATTAAAAAATATATATGGGTACTTATACATGGTTTAACAGTTTTTAAATGAAAAAAAAAACTATATTTATAATAAGTTTTCAATCATAATACCTAATTAATAGGTATGTTGTTAATTAGATTGCAATAACTGATTACAATGCACTCTTTAAAACTTTAAATCTTTATAGTTTTGAATCTGAAGTAGTATTATATCATACATACCTGCTATTCTGTAAACAAAATATTGGTTTATCTGCTCCGTAGTTATTTTTGGCAGGAAAACTTTATGTTCTTTCTGGAGCTGTTGGTAGCCAGACACTGGCCAGCCCACAGATACAGGGGTAGGGACACTTTCTAGCGGAGGGGGTTGAAAATCTCTGTTTCTGTCATATGCTTTCAATCTACAAAATTTTAGATAAATCGAACACTTTAACCTCTATTTTCGATTTTCATTAATTACAAGAATAAGAGCAGTTTCAATAAAGTTAGGTACTAAACAGGTGTACAGTTCCAGGGGCGTAGCTTCCATTGTGGCAATGAGGCAACTGCCTCACTAGATTTTTCAGCAACATTCCCCTTCCCAAAATTAATTGATAATTCATCGCAGAAAATATTTTAATTTATTTCTTAAAACATAATTGTTTTTTTTATCATCATTTAGATAAATCTATAAATTATTGTACTGGTTCTGAGTCAAAATTCATGAGATCGGGCTCTATAAAGTATTTTTTGGAAAAATAAATATGGACCACAAAACACGGGGCAGGCAAAGTTGACACCCTTTTTTATAATTTTATATGGAAAAGGAAAAATGAAAGTCTAGAATCGGCATCACGTAGTTCACAAACCCTGTAAACTAATGAATAATTTTATTATCTTTCCAAATGATGCCCAATTCAATTATATCTAAATATTTCAAAAATAGATAAATAAAATATGTATTTTTTTTTCCCGAAATGAGTAAAAAGTTTGAATAAACATTTTTTTACTCCATCAAATACTTTGAAATACAGTATGTACATATTGTATCATATGAAAGTTGCAAGTCATAAAACCGGAAAAATCACGAAATTTCTGTCCAGGACGAGTACCATTTTTACATTCTAAAACCAACAAATTCAATTTCCGTCGGGGGGGGGGGGGGGGCTTCGCCCCCTTAACCCCCCCACCAGGGTTTCCGCCCTAGACCTGCTGGGGGCCTAAGGCGGTCCCCCAGACCCCCGGCTGCAATAGCTTTGCCTCACTAGAACTTTAGTTCAAGCTACGCCCCTGAGTTCAGTAATGTCCCATATTTCAGTAATGACCCATATATATTTAAAATACGGTACAATAATTTATTGAAAACAACATAGTCTATTTGTAATTTTCTTGTGCATAACGAGGCCAGCACCTATGGAGATGGCAATAAGAGAATTTGTGTTTATTTTTCTAGAAGAAAATGCTCATTTTTTACTACCTCAATTCATTAATTTACGGTGGAATACTAAACGCATTGCGAGTAAGAAGTAAACTATGTTGTTTTGTATGCCTTAACTTCAGCATCATCAATGATATCGATGTCAGAAAAATTGCTTTTATGAAATATATAATACCTTTCAATAAGTTCTGTTTTTCTCCCGCCAACACTTGCACCTTTTGTTGCCAATTCAGCCCTCAATTTAGGAACGCTCCATGTCAAATATGACCGCGACGCCATACTTAGCTCCAGCGCATAACCGATAATACACGAGCGCCACCTACCGTGTAATGACGTGAATGCTTACTATTGTACTCACAAAGGTCCATATCATATTGGGGAGAGAGAGAGAGAGAGAGAGAGGGAGAGAGAGATTTCATGTAAATAAAATATAAATGAAAATTAATCACCACAAAAACATTCGGGGAGGATGCGATAGTGTAATATTATTCAAGTACACATCCCTGAAATCAGTATAGATTTTCACAGAAAGCGATCAAGAAGGTCGAAAATATCGGAAATTCACTTACAGCTGGGTCTACACCACGGCTTTCCCAAACCTCATGCCTCCTCGGGCGTCCATTTCAAAAGTACCCTAGCTATACCCCTGGTTTTAATTGATGTCAGAGAAGTTGAAAGAAAATTCTCAAGTTATTGCTATTAAAACGTATTTCTATACACTCCCCGTAAATTGTCGATTTCAGGGGATTCCGAAACATTGATCACGTGACGCGAACCTGCTTACGTCAGACTGATTTTGAAGGTTCACCTGTCAACATCCGTCATAGCTTTTGCTTCTGCATTTGCATTCATTCTGCGATTTCACACTGCTATTCAACGAGACAACTTGCACAGAAGAAGATTCCTACGAGATGAGGTTGGTTTTTTGATGTCTTCGTATTTAATTTGCGACTTTATACAGCTTTTCATAAAAATAACACTTGGTGAATACCCGAACATTCGCCCTCCAGCAAAAACCATGAGGGATTAGACCGGAACATATATTTTGAATTATTTGTTTACATGTATATTCAAGTGTATTATTATTAGTTTAACATGTATAATTTTGCGACTTATTTGTGAAATTGCAATAGACAAATGTCAATGTTCATTTTTATGGAAAATTGAATACATCCGGTTAAAAGTGCGCATGCGCATGAAGATTTCTTATGAGGAAAAATGGCTACCATGCGTTCAACATAAATTTAATTTTGCATGTTTTGAATTTTTAAAATTATATCTTTATCCACATGCAGATCAATCTTGAATTATTTCACATACATGTAACTATGTTGCCAAATCTGAAAAATGTGAAAGACACTGTTGCCTTCATATAATTGCCTATGGCAAAGCAGAATTTCAATGCAAGTTAAACTTCAAGGAGAAGTGATCAACAAAAATGATTTTTTTTTTTCAAATACTTATGAATAGACCTATGAAATATAAAAGCCCAAGGTAATCCTTCAAAAGTTATGGCCAATGCTAATTTTTTTTTGAAGAGAGAGTATTACTTGAAGGTCAATGTCAAATGGTAAGAATCAGTTATCTCCAGGAAAGGACTTGTCACAAAAATATACATGTGAAATACAAAAGCCCTAGCACCAACTGTTTAAGGTTAATATCCATAGTGTAATTTTCTTTTAAAACTAGATCAATTTCCAAGGTCAAGGTTAAAAAGGTCAAAGTTGTTGCTACAATGCGTAAGTATTCATAGAAAGATTTTGTCACAAGGAATACGCATGAAATATAAAAGCCCAAGTTCTAAAGAACTAGGGTACGGTATGTATAACGAGGCGGCCCTGTAAAATCGGCAAAAATTAAACACACGATAACATTTTTTTAACTGTGTCAATTCATTGTTAAGGTTCCCCTTTGTGAAAAATTGGTATCAATTTTCTTCAACTCACGTGACCTTTTGTGTATATAACGTTCAAAACCGGTCAAATATTCCGGAAATCACCTATTTTGGACGTTTTGCTCCTCTTCAAGTTAATATTTCGATGTGGCCGCATCCGAGTACATATGCACAACTTTGCAGAAAGAACAAGTAAACTTTGGTAACTAATATGCAAGAGAAAAAATAACTGTACAAAAGTGCGGCTACGTCCGTTTTTAAGAAAAGCTGTAGTTGAAAATATTTCGTTTTTGGATAGATGTGACTTTTCCTGCTCATTAAAATCTATACTTTTAAAGAAATTAAATGTTGAAGTCTGAATCTGAATGTAGTATCATTTAATCAATACTTTTACAGAAACTTATTGTTTAAATCTGTATCTGAATGTTATGAAAAACCACATAAACTTTTCTTCGTAAAATTTATCAAGGGACATTGCATGGAAATCAATGATGCAATACATTAAAAACATGACGTCACAATGAGCCGGCATATGTTGAAAAACCAAATTCTTCAGTCTTCCCTAATAAAATAATATAAATTTTCAATCAATATATACAGTGAAAAACAGTCAAACAACATACGTTTACATTTATACATGTACCTCTTATTAAAACGAGCGTCTCCTTCATATTGGACGTGATATTGACTTTATGTTACGAACAAGAAGAGATTTTTTTAACGTTTTATTGAATATTTATGCAGCTTTTTAGGTCACCTGAGTAAACTCAGGTGACCTATGCTATCCGTTGTTGTCCGTCGTCTTGCGTCGTCCGTTAACATTTAAACATTTTCAGCTTCTTCTCTGAAACTACTGAACCAATTTCAACCAAATTTGGCATATAGCATCTATGGGTGAAGGGGAACAAAAATTGTGAATTTCTTGGTCCCCGCCCCCCTGGGGCCTGGGGGGTGGGGCAAAAACCACTAAAATTAGTGCGATCTTTAAAAATCTTCTTCTTTACTCTCGGACATCAAGCAGTCAAACTGTTGGTATGATTGTAATCAGCATTGAGTCTTCTACCAAAATTGTGAAATTCATGGCCCCAGGGTAAGGGGTTCTTGTGTTAGGGCGGGGCTCAATTGATTATATAGTGAAAATGCATTATTTCTTTGAAAATCTTCTTCTTTGTTCCCCAGTATTAAATAAACTAATTAAGCACATAGTTATGATGAGCAAGAGTGTCTCTACATACATTGTGAATTTTATGGCCCCAGGGTCAGGGGTTCTGGTGTTAGGGCGGGGCTCTATATTGATTATATAATAAAAATGCATTAAATCTTTGAAAATCTTCTTCTCTGCTCCTGAATATTAAATACACTAATTCAGTAAATAGTTATGATTGGGATGAGTGCCTCTACCAAAATTGTGAATTTTCTGGCCCTTGGGTCAGGGGTTCTGGTGTTAGGGCGGGGCTCTATTGTTTACATAGTGAAAATGCATTTTATCTTTGAAAATCTGTCTCTCTGTTCCTGAGTATTTTATAAACTAACTAAGTACATAGTTATGATGAACAAGAGTACCTATACCAAATTGTGAAACTCATGGCCCCAGGGTCAGGGGTTCTGGTGTTAGGGCGGGGCTCTATTGATTATATAGTGAAAATGCATTATTTCTTTGAAAATCTTCTTCTCTGCTCCTAGGTTTTAAATAAACTAACTAAGTACATAGTTATGATGAGCAAGAGTGCCTCTACCAAAATTGTGAATATTATGGCCCAAGGGTCAGGGGTTCTGGTGTTAGGGCGGGGCTCTATTGATTAGAGCCTCTTCCAAAATTGTGAATGCCTATTAGCATCTAGCTTAAAACATGAAACAAATTCAATCATTTGAAAGTTGTTGCATGATGCTCAGGTGACCTATAAGGCCCGTGGGCCTCTTGTTTAAAATATGATTTAGATTATATATTTATCATGGTGAATGTTGACATCAGTGTTTTCAAGACAGGTTTAAATTAAACATGCAATTCAAAGGCGGATCCAGCCAGATGCGTCTCCCCCCCCCCCCCCAATCCGCCGTTTGATTGTTAAAAATTTACTTGTATTTTGTAAAACAAGCATGTACTAGTTATTTTTTTTTTGTTACCAGCATTAAACACAAAGTTATCAGTAGATCTACACGTATGGTATGAGATATACCGAAATATTATTTTACCGCCATCGCAATGTATTTTAAAATTCCTGCAAGGTGACGATTGATTTTCTAAATCAAAGGGGGGCACATATTATAGCAGATGTTCGTTCCCGGACCTTACCAGGAATCATCTTCGCTAGCCAAGGGTTTCCGATCCGATACCTACTCTACAAGAGTAGAGTACCTGTATGAATTTTAAAGGCGGATTCCGCCTGGAATTTGGGTGGAATTGAGCAGGAATTGGCAAATTCCGGGCGCACTTGAGGCGGAGACGGAATTTTCAAAGAATTACGCCTCAGGAGAAGAGACGTCTTACAGGCGTCATTTGTATTTTCCAGGCGTCAATTGGCAAGTTCAGATTTTCCGGGCGTAAAATAACAGGAAAATAAAAGAAAAAAATTACGCCTGGAACTTTCAGGAGAAGTAAAAGCCTCTGATTGGTCAATTTAATTATCAATTAAGGGTAATTTAAGATAGGAGGTTAAGTTTGAATTTGATCATGAACCCAAGTGAAAAAAATCCTCAAACAAATCACTCTAAGAAATCATTAATGAATCAGTGATTTGAAGATGATTTGTAAGTGATGCAAATTCCCATGCAAATGAGCTAACAAATCACTCGTAACAAATTGTAAGCAAATCACCTTGAAATCACAACGAAATCACTGAGAGTAAATCATGTAGAAATCACTTCTGTTGAACAAATCGCAACCAAATCACTCCAAACAAATTGCAAACAAATCATTTCAAATAAAGTGCAAACAAATCACTTCAGTTTAACAAATCACTTTCAAATCACTCCAGGTGGTTACACACTTGTGTGTAGGATTGCTCATGTAACCATCCCTCAAATATTTGAAACACACATGCATGCATTCAGGTATTTGTTGTATATGATCAAAAAACTTTTGGCAAGTGTATTTTAAAATATAAACTTTTACTAGGATGTGTCCTCATTAAGATGGCATCATGTATTTTAGATATATACACATGTACTTGGCTCCAAATTCAGAATATGATATAAGCATTAATTGCTTACTTTTAGAAGTTGGTAAATGTTTTCTTATCTGAAATACACATTTGTCTAGACACTTTGAAAAAGCCAGTACTTTTCTGAAGCTTATAGCTTAACATAGATTTAGTTTAAAACATTGATTGCCACTGACTTTGTTGTTGGTAGAAGAACAATAAATTGCATGTGAACATAGGGAATA